TTGCGCCTTTCCTGGAACTCGCTTGGTAGCCCAGGCTGGCCTCGAACTCACAGAGATCCGCCTGGCTCTGCCTCCCAAGTGCTGGGATTAAAGGTGTGCGCCACCACCGCCCGGCTAAAACCATTTTCTTTGGATCATGAAAACCACTTAAATCATTTTTAAGAAATTCCCCACTCAAAAATGCAAGCCAGCTTCTTGGGTTTCAAGTTGCACATCCTGTGTCACATCCCTTTTTGCTGTCTCCAAGGGTCAATAATGAACAGGGTTACTGGCAACAAAGTTCAAAGACTCTAAAGCAAGGCATTCAGCTGGTTCTCCTGGAGCCCAGGGCAACTGAGCTGATGTGAAATAATGCCCAAGGCACAGCCTTTGCCTTGACCTTGGTCCTCATCTGATAGTGTTTTTATGTTTGTATGTATGGATATGCTCATATATGCTGTGCAAGTGTGCATCTGTTTAGGAACTCGAAGAGGCCAGAGGACATCCCAATATCCTGCTCTATCAATATCTACCTTATTCCTGTGAGTCAGGCTTTCTCACTGAACTTGGCCAGCAAGGCCCAAGGATCCCCCTGTCCCTGCTCTACACAGCACTGGGGTGACATGCAAGCATGTGACTGCACTTGGCTTTTTACATGGGTGCTGAGATATGACCTCATGTTTTATTTTATACATGGGCCATCTTCCCACTCCCTTGAATTTTAAAACAATATTCTTACTAGATGGATCCAAACACTAATGGACACAATATTCTCCGATTCTTTTCTACCCTTTGCCAAACAAAGTGAGGCTGCCAGTGCAGAGGTTTTCCTCCAGTTGATTTTGTTTTTTCCAACACTTGGTATTTTTCACTGTCTAAAACTTAAATACAGACTTGGTTTTACCTACTACTTCACAATTTGGGTATTTACAACATGAACTGACCCGATGAACAAGAAGAAAGTGAAATTCCAGCTATGCCAGAATGGAATGGCTTTAGTCTCCTGAACGGAATAAAAGTGTGCTCCATCTCATTTCTCAATCAAGAAGCAAGAGGGAGTCTGAGGAGGGGTGGGGGTGGGGGGAAAGGCATGGAAGAAAAGTAAATGCTGTTCGAATGCACTGGCATGTTTTTTCTGTCCATAGTTCTTATTTCTTTCATAATATACTCTTAAATCAACCATCCACTAACTCTGTCTCCACCTCTACCTGCATCCTCCATGTGTGACAGAGTAGGAAAGGTACTACAGTCTTGAAGATCAATCACAACACAGGATGCTCAAGAGAAGTTAGAACTTCTTTTTAAAGCTATAGTACTCCTTGTATAGTCACTCCTTTTTTTATGTATCAGATGTCTCTGGGATTCATAATAACATCTTAGTCAGCAGGAGCACCAGAGAAGTAACAGAATCAAAGCAGCTTATGAAATAACCAAATCAGCAGTTATCACATATTGTTATAATAAAAGGCTTGGTCATCTTTCTAGGGAAAACCATTAATGATTTAAGTGCTGATGCAGCTAGTTGAGATCTTGAGAGCCTTAATCCACTTGCTCCAACCATGACCTAATGTTCCAGAAGGTACCAATTGTGACTTCTGACAAGGGGACAATGGAATTCATGCCAGCCAATCAAAACCCCAACTTTTCATTCCTAATAGAATACATGCTGCAAGATTCTAAATCATTCAAGTGTTGGGGAAAAGGGGGAGCATCCTGTTATTGAAATTATGAAGGGGTCTTCCACTTGCTTTGGTGCCTAACCAAGAGGCACTGTAGCAGCCTCCTCTTGACAGCAGAGAGAGGCCATTGTTCTACAGTCCACAGCTCAAAACACTGAAAACACCTAAGAGATGGATAAAAAAGAGCTAAAGGTAGGAAAAATTAAAATGTCCAATAGTTCTCTGGAGTTCACCACTAAATAAATGTATGTCAACCTTGGGGACCATATATACAAATGAGGAAAGGATTTCAGTCCAAGTGTGGGTGAATCCATCATTTTGAGCCTGAGTTGAGGCAAAATAGCAATGAACTATGCTAAGGCTTTCTAGTATGTGTATACTGTTGATAGTATATAGATGCTTCATAAGATATGCTTCTTCAACTAACTCATTAACTCTTTGTCCTAACCTTCATCTTTCAATTTGGAGACTAGGAAGTGAAGAAGGGACAGGTAACAACATACATCTATCTCTCCATGGCCTCTCCCACTACTCCCTCACCTTCTAGTCCTCACCACCTTCTAATAAGGCCATCAAATTATGACTCTATCAAGGAATAGATAGATACTCTATCAATGAATAGCTCATTAGAAAGATCCAATTACTTCTTCAAATCCCAACTTACATCCAGACAATAGATCCCCACATGGGGACACTTCATGTTCAAACATAACAAAGACAGGGAAAGCACTGTAATTCATGTACGGGCAAGGACAATTTAATGAGTGTGATAGACTTCCAAGGTTTCTTATCTCATGGCTTGAAAAAAACAATGTTGTCCTTGCCAACATGTATTTTATAACTCAACAAATAAGTATGATACAGTTAATTTCAAGAAATAGATATTGAATTATTTCATCCAGTTTTCTGAGAGTCTCAGATAAACTTGCATAGCTATAAATCCATTTTTTAAATGAAATACACAGAAAGTTAAGGTTGCTAAAAACAGGCTGGAAGAGATGCCGCGCAAACATGATGACCACACTTCACATCCTCACAACCCAGAGAATAAAAGATCCTATAATCCCAGTGCTAAGGAAGCAGAAACAGGAATATGCATGGGACTTGCTGGCCAGTCAGTCTACCCAACTTGTGAGCTCTAGATCAGTGGAAGACCTGCCTTAAAAGAAGGTGAGAAGACTGAGAAAGATACCCAAGACTGAGCTTTGGCCTCCACATGCACACACAGCACTCGAACATACCAAATTGGCTAAAACCACAATCAATTCTGTGCTCTTCATATTCTAACTAGAGTCTGTATCTGAGTAAATCATATTGAACTTAGACCATTGCACCATGAAATGTGCCCCTCCCCCACTTGAGGGGCACAGCCAGCTGCCTCCACATCATAGAATACACCTGTTGTTTTCATCGCTGTTGCTTAATACTGCAAGCCACCATTACATTTCAATATTGTCCACACCTTAAGATCCAAGGCTAAGGCAATCAACAGGTGGCCAGCTACTGGTGAGAGAGGACTACACACTACACCTTCCACATTGTTTTTAATCCAATTTCACGGTACTTTCTATCAGATCCAATTTTCAGCCTGTTAACAACTTCAATGAAACCATGAACAAATGAGGCAAAACCTTCATCATGCCCCAGAAGGTAAAGATGGTCACCAAGAAGATACCAAGGAGGGTCTGCCTATGCACATTTTTTAAAGTACTAGTTTGAACTGCATTACACTACTGAAAGCTAGTCTTTGGAGATCTTCAGCACTGTATTTTCTTCTCCTGATTCTCGCCTGAGTGAACACAGTAGAGAGCAACAGAACATGTTCGAGCCAAGAGACAGTTTCTTCTGTCTGCCTTTTTCTCTTTTAAACACAAAAAGTATTCTCAGCTATGTACACAAAGGCTGCCTGGGGCCTTAAGGATCTGTTTATTTGGCAATTTTAAAAGAGTGGGAGGCCCACAGAGTTCTCACTTACCAGAGTCCAAATGTGACTTGGGCCCAGCATGAGGCCACAGGCCATCCCGGGGTGGTGAGTAGCTAGCTAGCAAGCTTGGGAAAGCAGAAGCAGCTTTTAAGTGGCCCCAAGAGATGTCTTTTTTCCGCACTGAGGAAATCAGTACCAGTGTGGGCAAAGCAAACCTCGGGGCAGAAAAACCTCAGGCTGCTCCTGGATGCCCTGTGAAGCAAGGTACCAACTGATTTTCCAAGCCCCCTCCTTTCTTACATCTCCATTGCGGGAGGAGAGAGAGGAGCGAGGCCTGAGGGGGTGTGCACACGGGAGGCAGTTGAAAAACAGCTGCTTCGTAGCTCTAGCTTTTGGCAATCCTCCTGCTCCACACGCAAATGCACCTGGGAGGAAAGGGGTCCTCTCGTTTGTTCGGTAACTGCAGCTGTTTCCCAAGGTGAACCAACATTGATGGCGCCTGGGAGATGAGGACTGAAAAAGCTGCCCCAAGTATTGGCCTGGCCTAAGCACACCCCAGCAGATCTTCTGGCGGTTCTAAGGTGCCTCTCCCTGATGCTCAGCTTGTCTGTGCCCGTCCAGTGGTAGTCAGGATGTGTTTCCCCGGGCCCCGCGGTCCACGGTTCTTCATCAAACTTTGGCTCTCAGCTAAGCTGTTCCCTTGACAGAATCAGTTTCTAGAACCTTCAAAAAAAAAAAAAAGAACACTGCTTGCTGTTGATTTTCATAGTTCTTAGGAAGTCTGTGTGCTTATTCCCCAAAGGCTCTAGTCAAAATACCTCACCCAGAAAATGAGCCCATGAATCCTGTCCGTGAACTATCACAGCATCTCCCTACCCTGAGCAAACCTGCTTCAATATGAAGAGAAGGCCCCAGAAGCCAGCCCTACCCCAACACTCTTAGCACACTATCTACTTGAACTCACTGATATTATCATTGACCTTAATCCTAGTCAATGTCAACCACCTCAGAACCCCTAGACACCTAGATCCACCCTGCACTGTAACCTCCATATGCTTCTGTACAGTCCTTGTCCCCTTCTCCCAGGAGTCTCAGGGGTTTAGTAATTGTTGCATTGTGCCCAAAGGCCTAACTCACAGCCCAGACAATAAAATCCACAGTATGTTCAGCTTGCTCTCCAGGGCATGCCATTTGGTTAATCTACCACTCTGGATAAAACCAAGACTCTAGCTACCCTGGTTTGCTCTGTGCAATGGAACATGACCTGGAAAATATCAACAAATGTGTAATGTGGAAAGCAGCTTTCTTTTAAATTCATCACCACCATCCTCAAAGGAGCCGTCTTACTGTTCTATTGCTGTGACAAAACACTATGCCCGAGACAGCTTATAAAAGAGTATCTAATTGGGAACTGGCTTACAGTCTCAGAGGGCTAGTCCATGATCACCACAGAGGGAAGCATGGTGGCAGGCTGGCGGGCGGGCAGGTAAGGCTCTGGAGCAGTAGCTGAAGGAGTCCCAGGCAGAAGAGGAGGGGAAGACTGGGTATAGAGTGAGCTTTTGAAGGCCCATCCCCCTGTGACACACCTCCTCCAACGTGGGGGTACCTCCTAATCCTTCTAAACAGTCCACCTGCTGGGACCAAGCGTTCAAATACATGAGCCTGGGGGAGGGGGGCATGCTCTTTCAAACTGCTGCAGGAACACTAAGTATCACAGGATAACCAGAATAACCTGCTCTCCCAATGCCCTCAGCTCATCCAGCATACTCCACTCCTTCACACTGTGCTCCACTGTCATTCTCATCCCACTGCTTCCTCCATTCTCTATGGAAAACCGAAGCAGTCAGGAAAAAATTTCCTCACCTCATCTTCTACTCCCCAACAACTGTGCCCATGCACCCTACCTACCCACTTGTTTTGTTTTGTTTTTAGGGTCACTTTAGACATTTCTCTTTTTGTTGTTGTTGTTTTTTGTTTGGTTTAGTTTGGTTTGCTTTTTTCAAGACAGGATTTCTCTGTGTAGTTTTGGTGCCTGTCCTGGATCTTGCTCTATAGACCAGGCTGGCCTCGAACTCACAGAGATCCTCCTGGCTCTGCCTCCCAAGTGCTGGGATTAAAGGCGTGCCACTGCCTGGCTAGACATTTCATTTTTTTTATTTTAATTTTTTTTTCATTTTACCTATCAACCACAGTCCCTCTCCCTTCCCTCCTCCCTCTCCCCTCCACTCCCTTCCACCCCACTCCCTATCTACTCCTCAGAGAGGGTAAGGCCTCCCACAGGGAGTCAACAAAGCCTAGCATATGAAGTTGAGGCAGGACCAAGCCCCTCCCCTCTGCATCAAGGCTGAGAAAGGCATCCCACCACAGAGAATAGGCTCCAAAAAGTCCGTTCATGCACCAGGGATAAATCCTAGCCCCACTGCCAGGGGCCCCCCAAACAGAACAAGCCACACAACTGTCACCCACATTCAGAGGGCCTAGTTCGGTCCCATGCAGGCTCCCCAGCTGTCAGTCCAGAATCCATGAGCTCCCACTAGCTTGGGTCAGCTGTCTTGGTGGGTTTCCCCATCAAGTTCTTGACCTCGCCTTGCTCATGTAATCCCTCCTCCCTCTCTTCGGCTGGACTCCCGGAGCTCAGCCCAGTGCTTAGCTGTGGATCTCTGCATCTGCTTCCATCAGTTACTGGGGGATACCTTCCCACTTGTAACCATAGCTCAAGTCTCTTTCTGTCTGTCCTTTCGGTTGAGAATTAGACCCCATCTCCTCTCACCTACTCAGGAATGCTACTCCAGGAACTAACTCTTCCCCATCAAGTGGCCATGCCTCACAGCATTGTCTTATTAACGTCTCCTTCCTTTTCTATACTAGTCCTTGGCTGAAAACTTCCAAGAAGTTTGGCTGCTACTATTTCTCTATTTTCAAGCTCACTCCAAATCAATTGTTAATCCATCCACCAAAGTCCTACTCTTCAAGGATATGACCTCCTCCCACGGAGGTCCAATGGGATGCTCTTAGTCCTTCGATTCCAACTGATCACAGCTGGTCACCCTTTCCTCCTGCGGTCATTTTTGGCCCTTGATTTCTAGGACACACAAACCTCTTCCTTCATCTTTTCACAGCATGGATTGCCTTCTATTTATATCTGTTATCCGTCTCCTCCTGCTAAACTGGAGTAGGTTAAGGATCTTTAAGCATCTGAATTTAGAGATATACCCGAGGCACATACAATAATACCTGCCATATAGTAAGGACATAAAAAGTATTTGTT